ACGGGAAGTCACTGTAGGCTATGTGTGGTCTGCCGGTGTAAACACCCGGCCACCCCCCCGCGTCGGGGTTGTTCAGTTGTCAGGTTGTTGGACTATAAAGCACACTTAGCCTATAACTGATTGTAGATAATGATCTTCTCACGCTGTTGTCATATGTATCTGGTAGGCTAATAAATATTGTGTTTTCTATTTAGAAATAGCCATATTTAGCCGTTATATTTGTGTTTTATGCCATTATTCGTGTTAGTTCTTTATCCTAAGTGGTAAAAATGTAAAATAACAGAAGAGTGTGTGATGAACATAGACCAAAACTTGATGAATCATAGAGAAAACTTATTTCCAACTGCTGACCAGGTTTTTGATTAAGTTTGGCGCCATCTTGTGGCAACATTTTATATGGACTACAAGCGAGAATTGTAAAGTCACAAACATTAAATCAGTAATAAAACTTGTTAATAGCCTACAGAAAATTATTTTAAAAAATAAGGTTTATCAGCTTTATTAACTTGTGGTAATAATGCAAGACCATAAAAAGAAGTCAGAATGAACAAGAAGCTTTAACAATTGCCCAATTCGTCGAATTCAACTATTAAAACCACAAGCAGCAGTGTAAAATATGATAATACGACTAAATGTAAGTGTTTGTGTTTTATGTTCACTGTATTAAATGTTAATATGTGTTTTTTTATCCAAAATCTGCGGACATCTCGCGAGACTTGAGTGTGAACTAATGCCAGCGGAAGTACTACACGAGTCTCTTTTCCGCCGGCCATAGAGGAGCAAACGGCAGGGTAAGAATTCCTTGCAGATAATTTCACTAAAGTTATCACCATCCATCCTCCCTGTAATGTCACTCTTTGTCCATATAACAGTCTAAACACCTCGTGAACATTGTCACAATTAAAAGACGGCCAATATTGAATCGTTGTTGATGAGAGATTACAAATTAAAACCTGCCAGTGTTTGGTCTCCCTGTTAAAGTCTGTCGGGATCCGCATGTCGGCTACGGGAACTGAAGGAGGCTTGATTCTTGCTGCTAGCGATTAATATTCGGCTTCCTTTTCAGTCATTGCTTTTTTTTATCCAATCTGTTGCTCGCTCGATAATATATTACCGAGTTAATGTTGGCACAGTGTCTGTTGTATTATGCTAACTCAGTAGCGACATTTTGCTAGCTTAGCTTATAATAGCTTTGAAGACATAACCTAGCCAGCTAGCTGTTAAACTGTAAACTCCTGTGTGTGTGTGTGTGTGTGAAGAAGTTACAATGCTAGTCGCACAACGTTACTTATCGTGTTTCAGTGGAGGTGTTGTGTAGAGAAACTGAAATGCAAAGAACTTAAATTAATGCTGACGTTTATTTGCTAGCTTAACGTCACTTACATTGTATTTGAAACCCGTGCTTGCATGATTCATGTTTTCAGCAGTTAGGAGTGGAATTTAAGCAACTGCGGCTTTTCTATCCTGAGACTGTTGTGATGTCAATTGGTTAATAACCTGCATGTCTTGTTTGCTCACAGCATCATGAAGCTGAATCCATTTGTAACATCCTCCCGCCGCAAGAACCGCAAGAGGCACTTCAATGCCCCCTCACACATCAGGAGGAAGATCATGTCTTCCCCACTATCCAAGGAGCTCCGCCAGAAGTACAACGTGAGGTCAATGCCCATCCGCAAAGATGACGAAGTCCAGGTACTGTAGTTTGGATTGCTGAAAGTTTCTCATAAAAACTGTAAGTTTCATTTGCTTGACCACTCTTGTTGGTGTTTACAAACAGGTTGTCCGTGGACACTACAAAGGCCAGCAAATTGGCAAAGTGGTGCAGGTCTACAGGAAGAAGTACGTCATCTACATTGAGCGCGTGCAGAGAGAGAAGGCCAACGGAACCACAGTCCATGTCGGCATCCACCCCAGCAAGGTGAGAACACAGTTGTGTAGATCCTCATTGGTTTCCCCGTCTCAGTAGAGTTAAGAAAATAGTGTTAAAGTGAATGTGGTGGTGTTCGACACTGTAGCGGGCGATGTCAGTGGATGTAAACCTTTTTATAACGAGCTGTGTTTCCCTGTCAAGACTTTCGCTTGAAATGTGTCCTCCTGCCTTTTTAGCATCCCACTGATGTGGAAATTGTCAGAGTTTAGTGCAATCTTACATGACAAACACCATTTCCATGTAGAAGTACCAGAGACATTTATTTATCATGGTTCTGTGGTTGTGTGCCTGACCTCACTCTGCAATGGAGGTGGGGGCAGCACTTAACTGTGTTTGTTCATCATTAAGCTGAAAATGCTGGACCAACCTTGATTTATTTGTTTTAATCCAATGTTTGTAAGGTGAAAAATGCACAAGTATTCAGTTTTGTCACACTGTGAACACTGTCGATCCAACTTTGTGGCAATCTTTGAGGATGTAAGGGGTGTTGGACAGCATTATTTGAAGTTGTTTCTGATTTTTCCAACATATGTACATACATAGTGTGAGACACCTGTAAGACACAGGGAAGTGCTACGTGGATCTGACATTAATGTGACACAAATTAAGGCTATGTTGAACATGGAGTTGAAAAGATAATACATTAAGAGTGATGTGTAGTAAAAATGTTTTTAGTCTAGGTACAGGATCAAGTTCAGATATCATCATGTTGATGATATTTGAACATATGATGGACAGGAAGCAATATAAAACACAATTCTACTGAACTTTTAACATCACTGTCGCCTTTCAGTGTCTGAAAGGTTGTATCAAAGTGGGAAACGTAAATGGTTCATGAATTCATGTCAAAGATGGGCTGTGCACAGTAACCAGAAAAGTAGAAACCCCTGTACTTTGTAATTCAGTCCATTAGAACATCCTTGTAAGAAGTACTGGTATCTTTTAAAGCCCTAAGTTAATGTTGTATGCATTATACTGTGAGGTGTTTTTTAAGTTTAATCATTTATGTGTAAATGAGGAATGTCAGTGTATTGCAGTCCACAAAAACCATAGAAGAGTCAAACAACTTAACTGAACTGGTTTTAAATTAAGGTAGCATTTATTGCAAGACATTTTGAGGTGGAGAGCGAGAGGCGAAAAGTAAAAAGCGAAAGTAATAAAATGAAGGGTGGCTGAATTCCATTTAGCTGCTTCAGTTTCAGAGTCATGGCATAGGGACACATTGTCTCACTGTCATGACTTACTGGTACTGTCTTCGGTGCAACTAGCAGGTTTATTTGTATTCATTTTCAAATTCAAGGAATATTGGGCTGTAGAATGTCAATGGGCTGTGAGTAAGCCGTCAAGAGACAGTCAACCAGATGTGATGGATTAAAAACTCTGCTCTCCCAGGTGCATGTGAACTGGTCAAAGCTAGATGACTTGTACCAGCAGAAAAGGCACAGTTCTAAAAGCAATGTGCAACGATATGTGCAATGCTGTGACAAAAACACAGAGCTGTCGGATTTCATGCACAACAAGAGCAAATAACTAACAAAGCCCAACAAACATCAAACCTGTATGGTCTTTGTAATAAATCTGACTCCTCTGAAGCCTAGGTTGATGCCTATTGGGTTGTGTGGATTCGTGGTTTTACTGATTGTAGAATTGTACTGACCATCATTTCCCTAGACATCTGTTTGTTTTGACCATCAGACTTACAGCTATGTCCACTTGTAACAAGTCTTCGACATTAGGAATGTGTTGTGGACGTGCCTTTATCTAATTGTAAGGAGCTGCAAAATCACTGGATTATACAGATTGTCAGACATTGATCGTCTTTCCTGCATGATTTGCATCACTGCCAATGAGACATTTCAGGACTTGTCCAGTAACCCAGTTTTTCCGGTTTTGCAGGTGGTCATCACCAGGCTAAAGCTGGATAAGGACCGCAAGAAGATCCTGGAACGCAAGGCCAAGTCTCGCGCTGATATAAAGGAGAAGGGCAAATACAAGGAGGAGACCATTGAGAAGATGCAGGAGTGAAAATGATCTTTTGCTATCAATAAACTGTATAAATGGACCATACTTTGTCTGTCATATTTTAGCTGTGGAGGTGGGATGATTGTGTCAAATGTGTTAAAGAATTTATATTTCAAACATGCATACCTTATTTATGGTAGTCTAACACAAAGATTGTGTTACACCCGTCAGTGTAAAATTGGTCTGTACAGGGCCCATAAACTCAGTATATTGCACTAATTTTAATCCAGAGCTCAAAGTGAGTCTTACAGCTGCCAGTACTAGGAAATGGATGTTTTTGTTTATGAATGAGTTTGTGCTGGCAGAAGTCTCGTTAGAAACTAATTTCAGATCCTGATATATAGTGATGTGAACACTATAGAGTTTAAATACATCTGCGTATTTGGGTTTGGTGGTTCAGATTCCTGTCCTTTTGATCCTTGATGGTTATAAAGATGTCAAACGGAGTTAGCGGGAAGATACAGGCCCACACACCCAGGAGCACATGATATTTACATGGACATAATTGTTGGTTGAAAAAGGTGGCATACAAGGACACTGCAGATTGCCTTAATATAAAGCTACAGGTGGAATCATAAATTTGTCATAGACATTGAATTGTTCATCATTAGCTTCAAGCTAATAGTGCTACAAAAAACCCCCATCAAATTTAAAGGAGAATAAACTCACTGTCAGGGGCCTGTCCTTGCTTGTGTGTAGATATAATCATGTTGTAGTTGTACAAAATGAGCGATAGGTGTCACTTTATTACCAAAGACTGAACATTGCAAAGTTTGGGAAGTCCCAAATGAAAGGCATAGCAAAAAAGATCCAGCCTTTTTGTAAAAGTCAAGCATTTTGTTTAACGGAGAAGTGGTCATAATTTCGATTACCAACTAACGTACAAATTTCTCAAAACTAATAATGCTGAAATAGTGCGATGATCTACAGAAAATGGACCATATTAGTCCATGTCAGCTTTTTTGTCGACTTTTAAGTATATATGCTTTACAAATAAATGTTCAGTGCAACACAGTTGAGTTCCTCCCTCTCTGGTTACTGATGGTCATGTGATCAGCGCTGCCTCGTCTCTGTCGTCCTGTGGATCCTGTCTGGCAGCTGGACAGAAGTTTCTCTAGTCAGAAATTTGTGTTCAGTCATTATATTCTCTGTTTTGAACAAAACACCATCATGGCGGGACTAAGTTTTGTGATCTCCATGTCTGTGATGACCCTGTTTTGGTGTTTTGTTGGAGGAGTTGTGCCCTGGTTCGTGCCTAAAGGACCAAACAGAGGGTGAGTTCGTTAGCTGCACTTTAGCTTCCAGCTGGCTAGAAAGAGCTAACTTAGCTAAATAGAGTTTTTATTGTATGTTGTCCCGTGACTCTTGTTTGGTACAAGTAGGTGTACAGTGTATAGAGTAGCGACGCTGTTTAATTAAATTTCTGTATGTTATTTGAGCAGTTTAACAAATGTAAACCTTGTGGACGAACTTTACTCGCTAGTAAGTAAAAGTTAGGATTAGCTAAAGCTGAAGCTAACATTTCATCCTGTGTGACTCTAAGGAAGCTTCATCCTTTTTGCCTTTTTAATCCCCGTGTTGTTGCTATCTCTGCAATACATCTACTATAAGTCTATGTCCTTATATTTAGATGCCAAACTCAAGAGTAAATATACTCCATCTCTGGAAAATGTGCCTAATGCAACTTCCCTTATTTGCTTCTTTGTCAGTCACATCACGAGATCAAGCTATGTTAATAAATGGCCAATGTTGTATTTTAAAACCATGCAACGTTATTCAATCTTATTTAAATGTTCAGTATACCGCTTTTAAATATTTTCTCCTATTCCCACAGAGTGATAGTCACAATGTTGGTGTTAACTGCAGTTTGCTGCTACCTGTTGTAAGTATTAAGTTATCATCCAGGAAATTTACCAGGATTTCTTTAACATTGTGTTGTGGTAGTTTTATCATACCTTCGTGCGCTTATAACGCATACAGAAAAATAATGGAGGGTCAGTAAGAATCAGATCTATAATATAAACATCTGAAATTATTAGTCCATTAATCCGCTGACAGAAAAATGTGTGGCATCTATTTTGACAGTTAATTAAGTAATTTGTCCAGCAAAAATAACAAGCATTGTCCCAACTTTGGATTTGCAAACAGACAATTTTCACTGTTGATTAATCAAGAAAATAACTGCCAAATTAATTGGTAATGAAAATAATCTTATATTGCAGTCCTAATAATATATATTCCGACTAATAAAACAAATAGAGTACCTCTTTTCCTCAAGTGGACATTGATTTGTGTTGAGACTTTAGAGATGATTGATGACTCCTCCTTTACCCTATAGTCATTTGTTTGCATTACAGTCACATTAAAACAAAGGTTCTCATTGGTGTTAGTACTGTTTTGCATATAGTATTTCTGCCTTGTGATACGTTATTTATATTCACAATTAGGTGCAAGTGTGCACATGGTGTCATGTTACATGTCAGACTGGCAAAAGTAGTGCAGTAAACACAAAGCAGTATTGCAGCCAAGAGGAGTTATTTCCCAAAAGCCTTCAGTTTGGTGCTGTGTAGAGTAATCCTAACAACTGAATGTTCTGTCATGACAAAAAAAATTCAGAAATACCGTTGGTTAGAGAATAAGAAATGACCCACATCCTGGAGCTTTGAAGAATGTGTTTTGAAGTGCAGTTTTGTTGCTGAGTATTTACACACATGATCTTATTATTTTTTCTGTCCACTAGCTGGTTGATAGCAATTCTGTCCCAGCTGAACCCACTTTTTGGCCCTTCTCTGTCCACTGACACCATCTGGTACCTGAACTATCACTGGCCTTAAGATACCCTTCCAGGGTCCTGACCATACAGGCAAGTATTGAATCTACATTTGACCTACCTACCTACTTTTATGCAGTTTATAGATGCTGGACTTCCATGTAGCCTATGGAAAATTCATTTCTTAATTTGTGTTTATTGTGATTTCTCCCAGCAGGGGTGGACCGGACACTGCTGCATACCAATGGATGTTTGCTACTCACTCGATGCAGAGATCCTGCCTTCTGAATCGCCTTAAACTCAGAACCGTGTGTGATTATTGAGTAATGCCCACACTGGTGCCTTGTACAACAATGATTCCCAAAGTACCTCTGAGAGATCTCACTGAATGTGCTTCACTTCTATTAAAGCAACCTGTTGTTGTTTGGTTTATATATAATGTATATTGTGTTTAATGCTGGTGTTGAGACGAATGATAGTTGATGTGTGGTGTGTTTGATGTGATCTCTTTTTGTCTTTAATATTAGTGATGGATGTAATCCATGTGATAGTTGTTAATTAATAAACTAATAATCAACTCCATTGGTTCGAAAATGTTTGAATTTTGTTCTGCCTAATTTATGAGCTCATGACTTTTTCCAGAAGTCTTTGCTGTAATTAGATAATTTTCCAAGTAATTATAGTCATTGATATAGATATATTAATAATTACTCTTTATCATGGTGACATGTAAAGAATATATGCAGAATTTAATGATATGTTAAATAACAGGCTGTTATGTTAAAGTGCTTTACACACAGCATTTCATTTTAATAATTAATTAATTAATAATAATTTACTGAATATTACATTTATTTAATAAATCGTTATATGGTGGTTGAGTATTATTTTATACAGCCCATGTTTCTTTAATATCATAAAACAGTTTGTATGGCCAAAGTCGACAGTCGACGTTGCAGGCTTCCCGCTTGCCGTAGCTCGAGCAGACTACGCTGGCAACATGGCGTCCTCAGATGTCCACGTCCGAATATGCGAACAAGAAATTCTGAAATATGACTTGGAAATCAAAGCTCTCATCCAGGTGCGAATATTTGTTTGGTAAGATTAGTTAGCGCTACGCTGGTATTTGAGCTTGTCATGTAAGGAAATCGTGTTGCTGTCAGATGGCGTTTAATGAAAGAGTTCAGCCGGTGCACCGACAGTTTGAGCTGCAGCTACCGGGTGCTTTAAAGTATCTCTTTACGTCAGAAAAAACTGACAGATGTGCTTAGCGACAAGGTAAGGCATTATATCAAGCGGTAAATCAAAGCTGCCATAAAAATATCAGGAAAACTGGCCCATCAGTAACGTTATCATAAGTCTGCCAAAAAGAAAGCATTCATACTGAAATTGATTTCCACTTGTAACGTTAGCATATAAACTATGACCATACTTCTTTAGTTTGTTTAGTTTGGTTACCTTTCCACCCCACTAATTACAATTTTTTATTTTCTTTCCACTCCGTATTGTAAATATATATGTAATATTGTAGTTCCCGTTACTACAATGCTGAGATTAGTCAATTACAAAATATTATCAGACAGCAATTTTGATCACATTTGTGGTTGAATAATATTTTAAGCAAAAATGTGAATATGTACTCATATAAACATCTCAAATTTTGTTTTTACTGTTTTATGTTATTTAACGTTCAGTAGCCTACCTTTCGTTTTTTTTAAAACTGTTATCAGGAGAAAAAAACCCAGCATTTTTAAGGCATCTGGACTGTGGGAAATTGGCATTTGTCACTATTTTGTCACATTTTATTAATGATACGTAATCATTCCATAATTGGTTATCATAAAGAATAAATGACAGATTAATTGATAATGAGAGGAGTCATTACAGGCCTAGAGTTGCTTTATATGCTATTTCAGCACATTCCGTCGCCCATGTTGACAGATTATTCCCACCTGACAGATTGATGGATCTCTTACTTCAAGTGATCGCCAGTGGTGGTTTATCCTCAGAGAACAGCTCAAACTGTCCAGCAGAGCATCTTTGCAGTCACAAATGAGAGCAACAGTTTGATACCAGTAACTCTGTTACTGGTATCAAATGATACCACAATGATATAGGGGGTATGTGTCTATCTCATCCTTGTTTTGATGTCTCACCAGGATATTAATGAATGCACAGGTCCTCAAAGCAAGCTGACAGAACTGAACTCAGATGTGAAAAAGAGTTTCCACAATCTCAGATTGCGGATTCAGGTAGGGAACGCTATTTATAAATTCCTCTGCAAATGTGACAGAACCACATTACAGCCTGTGCATCAACCAGTTGCACTTGATTTTATGAGATATGGCTCAGAAAACATTTGTGCTATTTTGTTGCTTTGACAGGATTTAGAGCAGATGGCTATGGAGCAGGACAAAGAGTCAGACAAGCAAGCTTTGATCAGTCAGGTAGAGGGACACAGAAAACAGATGATGAGGTAATGTCTTTGGATTTAGATATTCTACCATTCCTGGCTTTTATAAATGTGAGCTGGTGTGTGTTTTGTCACAATAACAATTGATAACGCTGCCAGAATTGCCTGCTTAAGCTTGCATAATGTTGTTGTTTTTTTTCGGGGTGGGGGGGGGTTGTAATGGCTGTTTTTGCAGTAACCAGACAGTTTGGAGGAAAGCCAACCTGGCCAGCAAACTGTCCATAGACAGTATGGAGAAGCAGGCACTTCTTAATGGAGCAGATAGTGCCGTGAGGCAGAGGTGAGCTGACAATGACAGTCTCTTAAATGAGAGCCGTACAGACACATGGATCAGCTTTATGACTGTCAAACAACGTACTAGATTCTCTCAGTGTCGTAGTTAAATAATACATTGTTTTTACATCTTTCTTTTCCTTTTATAGTATACATTTAATTTAAAGTAGGACATTTATATTAATTGTATCTTGTTTTGGATCTCTTTCTCAGGAAGATGACCAAAGAGGATCTGGCTCAGACAACCAGTGACATTACAGAGAATCTTATGAGCATCAGCCGGATGATGGCGCAGCAAGTTCAGCAGAGCGAGGACACCATGACAACACTGGGTGAGTGAAGGAAACGCCTGATGTAAAGAATGCACTAACAGCGTGTTAGCAAAAATTTATTCCATGGGCATAAGTCAGATGCTTAAAATACAATTTTCCACTTAGTTTTGTCGATTCAGATTTGAAAGGCATGAAAGGGGAGCTGGTGCTGTGTGTGTTTACTGAGCCTCCTGCTGTATCTCTGTGTTGCCATACATACTGTAGGTTGGTTAAAAACTTGGCCACCGATTTTAGAAGAGTAATTAAACTTCAACTCATTTACGGTGTTTGGGGTTAAACTGTTTTAATGCACGCTGTCTAAACTGACTATTCATTTGTATGAATTATTATTCTGCAACCACGCCCTCCTTTCACAAAAAGGTTTTGTGTTGAAAACAGATTTCTCTCTTTTGTTTGAAGCAACCTCCTCAAGGACAATCCAGGAGACCAACGACGAATTTAAGACCATGACGGGGACCATCCAGCTGGGGAGGAAACTCATCACCAAGTACAACCGCAGAGAGCTCACGGATAAACTGCTCATCTTCCTGGCGCTCGCCCTCTTCCTCGCCACAGTTCTCTATATCCTTAAGAAGAGACTATTCCCCTTCCTGTAGACCAGGTACCTTTTGAGGAGCTCTTGCATTACCACATACAGTACTTTCCACGGTCAACTCAAATGATTTAATCAACTGAATGCTGCGTGTCATATTACACAGATATAACACACGAGTGTCTGTTCAGTGGAATGTCGCCTGTTCACTTAGCTGAACTGTGACGCTGCTGAGGGTGAAATATTGTCCACAGAGAGGAAGATTATTGCGCACCTATAGTTCCATGCTGTATTTTGTTTGGTTCACCATACATTGGTGGTACAAGATGTCCATCTTTAGTTAGTGTGACAGTAATGCTGTGCATTGCTTTCAATGAAATCACTTGTGAGACGAGATGGACGACCCATATTAATCTTTAGTACATTCCTGTGGAAGATATCCAGTGCAGTTTTTGTTTTCATATATATATTTCACATATTAAATATATATATTTAAGTTTATATACACACACAAACACATGCAGAAAATAATTCTTGGACACTTAAAATAGTAGCCCTCTGTTTGCTTCAGATGTTGCTACGATTGCAGTTCAGTGAAACTCCTGTTTATGTATGACACACAAGGTTCTTGAGATGAAAAAAACAAATCTGAGGAAAATAATGTAAGCAGAACATTTTCGTATAATCAGATAATCACATAACAATAACAAGAGACACTTTTTATTTCAGTTCAGCAAGCTTTTATCGTCACGCATGTCATTGAAACAATATTACAGTCATAGACAATACTATTAATTACTGTTATTCAATAGTAGTATTAAACTATACATATTTTGGAAACAGTACTAGGATTTAAAAACCAACATGTCTGTGTAACAGAAAGGGGCCTTCTTCTTATATTCCTCACTAACTGATGTTTTAACCAAACAGTTCTTTAGCACATGAAATCATAAAGTCGCTGTGCAAGTCATTTTGTGTAATTATTATTTAAAAAGATGTACTGTATAATTACTGTAAGGTGTAATTTCATTTTAGCATTATAATGTCGAAATGCTATTTTCTGGGAATAAAATATTGAAATGGCTTTTAACTGTGATACGACTGAAGACCAACTGCAGTTTGCATGCCTCTAGCTGGGTAATCAGAGTGGCGCTTGTATATGTGCACGTCAAATTGTCCCAGTGTTCAGTTAGCGTGAAAACCAGGGGGAAAAAACTATTCAATGAAAGAGTGTGCACACTTCCCTCCTTCTCTGCCCCCGTGAGCTTGGCTCTGGTCTGCAGCAGAGCAGAAAAGTCCAGAAAAGCAGTGGTGGTGATCACACTGTCAGAGATAGAGCAGCATGCATCCCTGCCTTTCTTCAGATAAGACCCGGAAAAGCAGATTATTCTGACCCGTTTCCCTCTGCCTTTCCAGTGTGGGTGGTGGGTGAGGGGGAATATTTTTAGGTTTGTGTGGCGCTGTTATCTGACGTTGCCTTTTCAACACCTTGGAGGAGAGGGTGGCCAGAGGAGCTACATGACCTTGCTACCCTTTCTGCAATTGCCTGCCGTTGCCATTTTGTTTAATAAATGTAAATGTTGTCAGTACTGATTATCAATAAATGCAAAGTTTTCTGGCTTGATGTTTCACATGTTTCTGTGGGTGTATTGTTTAAAATGAGACAGAAGACTACGGGACATGTGTGGAGAGACCTGAGAGATGCCTAAGCATCTCTTACTCATGTAAAGTGGTTGCAGTTGGGCAGAGCCCGCTCCTAGCCTCTTCATAAAATTGCACACTTAGACAAGCGCTTTGGCTCTCTGTCAAGCAAATTGGACTATTCTTGCATTTAGCACCATGATAGTGTCAATCAAGTTTTTTGATTTATATCAGGACAAGTGGACTGGGGTCTCAGGGGAGCGTACACGGCACCAAGCTGATGGTGCGAACACAGGAACCACAGTCTCTGCAACTCCACATTCATATAGTTATTTTTACAACTGAAGGGAGCTCTTTAGTTATTTATCTCACTGTTACATCCATATGTCCAGTTAAACTTTTGTCAGTTTAAAAATCTCAAATAAAACACAATAATAACTTTACCAAACAAAGAAAGTTTCAAAGAGAGAGTCTTTAATAATTAAGTACACTGTCCAAAACTAGATCTTGGGTCAGGTGACATCATGAATTTGTCCTCATATTTACAAGTAGGCCTACAGAGAAAAGGTTGTTGACTTTCATGATGGATTTTGAAAGATTGTATAGAAAATGTATTTCACACTATCGTAAATGTTAATCAGAACATTTGTTGTTCAGTAAAATAAAAAAATTAAAACATGCATTTCCTGGTCAGTAGAACCTGATTTAAAAACTTTTAATGCAGGTCAAGGTCATGGCTCACAGCCTATCCTCATATGTCCCAGCAACTATTAAACGTGTGTGGAGTGTACTGTGGCTGACAGCAGGCTGTAAAATGTGTAAACGTTTAACAACCTTTTAACCTTGTTTAAGCATATTGAGGGAAGCTTCCTAACAGCCACTTGAACATTTTAACCAGACACAAACCATATGAGGCTTGTACAGATGTTGGGGCTCCTGTATGTGGATCTCCTGTAGCAGTTCAACCAGTATGTGACCAGGAGGTATAGATTATATACTGTCACAATCATAGTTCACTATGACATTTAGCCTATATTCTGTAGACTTGTTCCAAGTGTATTTTTTTTAACGATTTAGAGATTGATAACCAGTGCCAATTATTTTATTAAGCAATGTTAAGTAATTTCGATTAAATAGTTGCATGTCAGCAATATTAACAAGTAACAATAATAATAATACATAGAATTAATCATTTCCATAGCTAAATAGTTGAAATTAGGTCGTTTTTTTTTTTTTATAGTTTCCCAATAAAAATACTGGTAAAAATATTTATTATTTATTTATATAACAATCCACTTCGCGGCGTGGTGTCAAAAAATAAAAAGACTAAAATAAAAAAAATAGAAATGTTCGGGCATATTTAAACATTAACAAATAAATAGGGCCTATTTAAACATAAACAAATAACATTTAAAGAATTGTGGTTGCAATTTGCTTTTTCTTTTTTGTTTTTGTTTTTTCGCTGAAATTACGTGTCTGTGTGCTAATGTCACGAAAATAAATAAATGTAGGCTATTCAGACAAAAACTGGTGCTGAAAACAAAAACAACAAACTATCTAAAGAAAGTTATTAAATATAAGAGAAGTTACACAAACTCCGCAAAGTCTTGACACATTTAAAAATGCATGCAATCAGAAAACAACCCCGTTAAATTGAATAAGTATAACACGGGTATTTTGTCTACCATGTCCTAATGCCATGTAACGAAGACACCCCATTACTGGAGGAAAATGTGTTCTGGACATTATTTAGGTCCCCTACCCCAAAGTTCATGTAATTCCCGTTGTTGGAGGATCCCTGCATAGTTTGCATTGTGGCTGCAGGATAATTACATGCATAGTTTGTGTTGCAGCCGGGGCTGGTGTAGTTACTGAAAGCTGGATAGTTGTTGTAAGTGAAATGGTTGATGTGACCCATACTGTAGGAGGGGTTGTAGGTGGTTGAGTCTGCCGCCAGGCAAGGCTTCCCATCTCGCACCAGCACCGGCACCGACACCCTCCTGGGCGGCGGCAGAGACACCATCTCCAAGCTCTGGTCCTGCCTTTGCCGTTTGCACTTGTACCTCCTGTTCTGGAACCAGATCTTAACCTGGGTCGGGGTGAGTTTGAGCACGCCGGCCAGGTGGTCTCTCTCGGGGGCGGACAGGTACCTCTGCTGCTTGAAGCGACGCTCCAGCTCGTACACCTGCGCCTGGGAGAAGAGGACACGCGGCTTCCTGCGTCTTCGAGTCTTGGGTCGGTCCGAATCCTCGGGTTTTATGTCCAACACGGGCACGGTCGGAGGACTGAACTCCTCTGATTACACCAGACAGAAAGACATGGATGAAAATATATCTATGTCCGAAATATTGTGACTTCTTAACAGAGGGCAAATGGATGTTCATTTCAGAGTTCATCATTAGGTTTATTTTTCAACTAGGCCTACTGACAACGCAATAATAATGATGATAGGCTAATAATAATAATAGCCTTACATTACATAACTATGATGTATCATGTTTAGCCTATGGTTCATTTTATTGTGCGAATTCTCCCAAGGCTGGTGATTCAATTCCCTTAGCCACCTATGATGCATTCAGTGTAAGCTTTGGAAAAAAGACGCATGTAATTTACACGATTTACACCAGTCTGATGTCCTGTTTGCCAATGCAACTTTTGCAGTCTTGACATTGATTCTTTCCCTCTTACATTTCATAAATCTTAAATGGGTTATGTCTAACAGGCCTACAAGAAAATGCAGACCATCGACTCAACTTAAACCCCAAAAAATCCAAAGCCTGTATCCAGTGTAAAAGTGTTTTCTTATATTAATGCGTATTGCTTTTTGGAGCATCTGTTGCGTTTAGCACAAATCATAGAACATGACCCTGCGGGCCTCACTTTGCACAGGCCTGCGAAATAAAACGAGGTCCTCTCATCAACTCACCTTTTCTACGTTTCCCCTCAAACGCGTCTGATTTCCCATCCTTAACTACATCCATCTGCATAAGTGATTTCCCATAAAAGGTAGTAGCAAAGTTGAATGCATTGCCTCTGCAGGCTCTGGACTCGTGGAGGTCTTCTCCAAACAGCGAGGCGGCGGCGGCTGCGGCGGCTGCGGAGGACGACATGTCCCGGAGAGGCTCCTGCTTCAGGCGGGCCAGCATACAGGAGGAGGAGGAGGTCGACACGGTGCAGCAGTCCATACGAGAAGAGACGTCCAGGGAAGACACCATAACGTCATGACTCTGCTCCAAGTTTAATATATCCTTTACAGAGAAGGGAGTGGACGTGCTGGGGCTGGGAAACATTGCCAAGAACTCAAAAAGAAACCTATTAACCTGTCATGTGGAGGTAACAGAAGTCAACAAACTTGCTCTCCTTCCTGGTAATATTTACTGGCTTTAAGTATTAGGTTGGTGTAGCAGACTGATCTTGAGTGAAGTTTGCATTTTGAATGTTAACTCTGTCTCCAAACTTTTTTCTCCCTCTTACTCCCGGTGACGCAGGGAGGAGGGAGGGGGGGAGCCAGTGGGACCCTCTGGATGGAGCCACTGATACACCCATTTCGTTACGTAAAGTGATGTCTGGTAGCTTATGCCGGGGCTGATGTGGCTCAGAGGCCTATATGTGTGCAATCATACCCGACCTACACCAGCCCAGACCTTATTACTGTCTTTCCAAAGCGAATTAAATTGTTAGAAAAGTTTTCTTGATTCTGCTGGCAAAATATTCTCCCTCGGTTTGGGATAGTATTGATTTATAAAGTTCACAAATTAAGTGAAACTAAATGTTAGATGGAAGGTTTTCAGTGTTGCAGTAGGCCTAAGTGGTTGCGCACAGTGCAAAAGCCTTTCCAGTTATGGGCGGATGTTCCCACGAATAATCAAGTTCCAAGAGAAATAATTTATCTGACGTAAATCGAAATTGTAGAATAACTAATAATAAGGAGCCAAACTTGCATTATTGAGGCTCCTGAGATGAATTAGGTCAATGTTTCTGAAAAGCCTGATCGTGCGCGTGGGTGTGTTTGGGGTGTCGGCCCGTCCCCTCATCCAACGGGAAACGGAGCAGACAACAGGTTGGGCCCCTGAACACGGAACCTGAAACCAGGAGCGACACACTCTGCTGTCTGCCCCCAAGAGATTCTGGAGCCACTGTCTGCGTTATCAGGGCGTGATAACAGATGACAACAAACCTGCACAAACACCCCCCACACACACTCCCACCCACGCTGCAGGCCAGTTTATCCTAAAGATGTGTCCTATATGACACCCACATTTTAACCAATAAACAGTCCCATTTTTATTGTTTTTTAATGTTGCTATTTCAATGTTTTTTTCTTCAACTCCTAGACAAGCAATCGGCTTTGAGTGTCATTGAGCAGGGCACTCCTCTTACTTCCAGGTGTGAAATCTATAGGATAGGTAAAGGAGATGCTGTCAATTAAACATGCAGTCAGTTATTTATAGATTAACAATAACAAAGTACAAATCATCTCGCCGGATAGCAGTAAAATGGAGACAACTGTGCGCAATGACGCATAACCTCCACGTGTTTCCCCCAGCGCGGTTGGCACTAAACCTGCTATTAATGCCTGTGGAGACGGTCACAGGAGACAGACAGTATTATCGTTTGTTTTATCTTCAGCGTTTAGCACAGCCACGGGGTAAATGGGTCCCCCTGTCTCCGACCCAGCGATGGTGTTTATAGTTTTAAAGACTATTTGTGCGCCTCGCGAGCTGATGAATGGCCGTAAAATCTTTCTCAGGCGCAGTGAGAGTCAACAATGGCTCGGATCTTGCTGTAATAATTGGCGAAATAAAGTAAACGCACGGAGGAGGGGTGTGGGGTGGGGGCACAAGACAGGGGGAACATGTTTTCGTCATGATTGATGATTTCCACGTCCCCTGCGCATGTTCGACTGTAATGTTTCCGTGTGTTCTGTCATTAACTGCAAAAAAGAAAATAAAAATTAAAACGAGTTATCTTATATTTAGTAAGTCATCCACCAAATTAAATAGCCTACTTATTCAGTTCTACTAGATGGTACACCATTGAGTCAACTGTAAATTGAACATGACAGGTCTGGCATGTGTTTCATATCCCTAATGCTTCGTCCTGCAGCAGCCCTGGGGTCCCCTTTGACCTGTCTTTCTGCAGCACATCTCCAACTCAGATAAAGCTTCAGATAAGGTTGCTTAAAAACTTCCGCTGCACGAACGTGTGGGTATTTTGAGGGTTGCGTGTCGGAGTGAGGAGCCACTCCGTGTGTGTGTGTGTGTGTACGTGTGTGTGTGAGTGGATGTGTCTGCGTGTGTGTGTGTGTGTGTGTGTCTCAAATTAAATTGTTTGTCTCTTGCCTAAACGTTCCTGGTGGCGCACATCGCAGCCTTAAAATGGGCTGGTATTCGCTGTCCTGGAGGCCTTTTGGTGATTTAGATCCATTAACTGTTTAGTGATTATACTAAGTAGGAAGCAAACTCGTCAGCATATAATCCAGTTAAGAATGTCATAATAAACGTTTTACACTTTCCCCACAAAAGCTGGTTAGCGTGTCAGCGGGTTGCAGTGGTGGACAAAGTAGCCTAGGCCTCTCCACAACTTTGTGGTGATATCTTAATTCCTGCTTTCAAAACTTTTTGTATGCTAAAGTATACAAGTTGTAAAATGTTGAGTTAGCCTACTTATTCTGAAGAGTGGCATCCATAATGTTGGATTATGGATGCCTCAAAATGTTGAAGTAGTACAAGACTTGAGTACAGTTATTTTAATTAAACCCCTGACCTGATACAGTGTTGAGAAGCTTAAAGGAAAAAAACATCTGACACATCCAACTATAAAAAACCCAGAAGATTAAAAACATTAGAAAGGAAACCTGTGAACATAGCAAATTATATGTAAATGTTCACATATAAATACACATGAACACATCCGACATGTACTTTTATATACACACACACAAAGTGTACAAGCCTATATATAAACATGCATATACATGTGGATATACAGTATATACAAAAACACTTACATACAAACATACATATAAACACCACTGTACATAAATATATACACAGACATAAAAAATTATGTTCATGCATATGGAAATAAAATAATGTATAAAAGAATAAAAACAATACATTGGATTTTAATAAAATATTTTTACTTTGCAAATTAAGAAAGAGAAAGTGAGATTCAGGAATAGAATTTTAAATGAGGACCTCTAGTGAACTCGCCAAGGCCCCTCGAAAGTCTCCAGGCTCGAAAAGAAAAAGCTCATTCCCGATGCTTTTCATCTGGGACCTGCGGGCAGCCAGAAGGGCCTGTTTGAGGGTCTTACAACACAAGATCTATGATGCTGAAATCTTTAAGAACTCTAAACTTCTGACATCTGAAAGCTCTGTTCTTCCGGATATATCAAGAGTCTAGTTGCTGTGTCCACATGAGACAGTTATGTATATAAGACAAAATACCACTGCCTTGTAATCATCTGGAGAAGTAATCAGTGTTGGCTTATTAAGTTTTTGAAGACAGTTTTCCTCTCTGGTGGATAATACGTCTGGACTATATTCTTTTCTGAAAATGCCATCAGACCAATTTGTTATATTTTTCTACAGTGAAGTTTTCAGTTAAATGGAAACTTTTTTTAAATTTAAAGAGACACAAAATAATAATAATAATTTTTACACTAAATCAAACAATAAAAACATACAGTACTAAAAATATTCAACACCAACAAAAAGAGAGAGAATCAAACAATTCAACAAAAATCCATCAATGTAAAGTTAATGCAAACTTGTGGACCAATACAACGCTTCAGGCTGAATATTTACTTTGTCCAACAGTCTAAGTGGGAACTATGTTGAAATACAGCAATCATTAATTAAGAAAATATAATTGAACTTATACTAAAACAATTCAATATGGTAATTAAATCCATTCAGTTATGGGATGTATCTCTTTTGGAATAGTTTGATATGACATAGGATACATTCATGTGGAGAATTTGGCAAGCGACTGAAAATCAGCTTTTTCTAACTTACCATAAATACTGACTGGACTTGAAAATAAATTACCTTCAAATTAAATATAAACCTTTAACTGATTCCCACTGTGGTCACATTGTAACATCAGCTATCACAGCTCTTGTGTGAATCAGCAGACTGGTAGCCTGATACAATGTCAATTCATATCACCACCTGTTTTTCCAGCTCTCTTTTCAAGAGTTCCTTTTTTCCCAGTTCACCTCCTTATTCCCCTGTGTATCAGTTAATGGACAATACTGTCCTATTTGCTTTCAGTCCAAGGTCAGGCCTTGGCATCTACATGTGTCTCCATCTCTGCTGCGCCCTGGATTTTTCATAAAATTAGCAACTGGGTTGCAGATATCATGAACTGACTGATGTGGTTTACAGGCAGATGAGTTAAATCTTTGGCTCCTTGGCCCTCTCCACCACAGTCGTTTGCATTACACCACCACCATGTGGCCATTGCAAGAACACACCCAAACTTTGGCTTTATCCTCTGTCCATTTGCTTTCTTTATGATGAGGACAGTGTAGATTTTTATTATAAGAATGATTATGGTGGAGATGCTGTTGTGGCAAAGATCATTAAGTTGTCAGCACACTGCACCATTTATTGCGTGACATAAGCATCCTCTGATCCGGAGTCAGGTTGTTGTAACTGGAAACTAACCGAATATGGCAGCTATGTCGAGTGCCATCTGTCTGTACGTCATTTGTCTTGTCTGTGATGGAGGGAGCAGCATCCCCTTCATCTACCCTCCATCCCCTGCCTCCTCCCGCCCACCTCCCCACCCCTCACACGCACTTCCCAGGTCATGTTCATAGGCTTGGCAAGGCTTCACACTCTTCTGCTGGGTTCAAGGTGATGTTAAGGCCCCCAGGGGACATAAGAGGATGCTTCTTACTCTGCGCTCCCTTTAGTTTTGTCTACAGCTGAGGTTTGAGGTCAGTGGAAGGATAGTGGTGTATCGTAGCACATGAGCTGATGAATGGATTTTAAGGGACAGGTTGTGCCCTGTTGACATATGCAAACTGGATATGAACCAAGGATTTTAAAGGGGTACTCCAGTGATTTACTATTCAAACGCCTTTGCTCCTCTGATTAGAAATAAGCAAACCAAGACATTCTTCAGGATGGCGGATCAGATCAATTTCCGGGTCACCCGAGAAGCGAGACTGAAGTCTCATGCCCAACACGAGATTTACCCTGATGACATCACCTGGGTTACTTTCAAAAGGTTCCCCCGAGAGCCACAGAAGACATTACACAACTAATACATTGTACAGGCTAACCATGACAAGTGAACTGACCTTAATGTGTAAAATAGGTGGAGTGCACATGTGCAAAGTTCCTCTCAGTAGGCTGCTGTTACATTTCACTGCAACTTGTATACTGTTGCTGTAAATGATTGCACCTCTGAAAAAAAAAATTCTTTAGACCTGCTGGTATTTGACTTGGATTAGTGTTTGTGTCTGCTTGTCCAGGGGCTGCAGAGTACATCTCTTCTCCTTG